GGTTTTAAAAGTACTTTTAAGCAAGACTGTGTGGATTATTAGTTTTAATTCAACAGTATTTTCAAGTTGTAACTGGTGTAACTATTGACATATTTAGAAGTAAAAAAATGTCAACCAGTATTATGGTTAAAATATCGCCATAATCAACTTTAGGTACAGTAGTTCAGTAAATGTACTTTCTTAAATTCAATTAAAGTTACAAATCTGTAGGTTTAAAGGGAGAAATAGACCATATCTTAAACATGTTCTCCAGCAGGCTTATTTAGTGTTTATTTATTTGTTTTAGAGACTCTTGGAAATCCCTGTCCCCTGCGTCATGACATCATGATGTCGGTCACTTATGTTGTAAAAGAACAGATATGCTCTTTGGCTCAGTCAGCATTTCTGTAGTGTGAGCAACATATGGCCTTGTTTGAATGGCATACCAGACAGCAAGACAGTTCCCAGCATGGCCTCCTCTGAAGTTCCCAAGCAACAACACATGATAGACAGATGACCTTTACTTAGTGTTGGGTCTAGCAAGACACAAGGACGGTTCCCTTTCATCCACTGTGCCACAGAATAAATTGAAAACAAATATCACCTTGTTCTTGTGCTTGGTGAGCACGGGCTACTGTACATCACCGGATGGTGAAATTGGCCACGAAACTGAGAGACTTCTGGTATTAACAGATGGCTGCCTCACTCTGCCACTAGTACTCCATGTTGCTGTGCTTTACACATGACCCAGTATTTTTCTTGCCAAAACCAACACTTTTCTGCCTCATGAGAGGACATACTGTACATGTCTGTCAGAAAAGATTCATGTCTCACATGAGTAAGTTAGGAGGTTTGTGGGGGCTGTTTTCGAGAGATAGTATATCTGTAGTGTGGTTCCTGGAGAGATAAGATACTTCCTGTTAGATGTCCGGAAAGCCTAGCATGACTTGATAGATATCGTAACAGCCAACATCTGAATCATCACCGGTGACATTATTGCAAATACGATCAGTAACGCATGCATTTTGTAAATTTTGCTATAATTAGCTGTGGTCATGTTGTTAAAGTTTACTGTATGGACACACACCAAACAGTTGACCTCTGATCAAATTCTAAATGTGCCCTTCCCGTATGTGAGTGTGTGAGAGCCTGTCTCACTTTGGATCCATGTTTATTCTATTATGAATGTGGGAAAGGAAGAAGCATTGCAAATGGTTTGGATGTGATTCAAGGGTACTGAGAATCAAATGTCAATCCGCAACAACAGGAGAGGAAATCACTGGCTTGGTAATACATGCCATTCCAATACAGTTATACATAGCTCCATTGGACCATGTCTAAAGGGAATTTCTGTGTTTCAATGCAACCGTTAACTGATACTGATTTAGAAGAATTCAAAATGTCCCTGTTCAGCGTCATTGATTGTTTTCGATTCATAAAGCTCAGCAGAACATGTAAAGGCTCTTCTCTTAGAAATAAAGACAGCATGGCTCAGAGGACAGCACAGCAAACATGATGTCATCTGCTCTTCAATGACATGATGTCAGCGACAGCATTCGGAAGAATACTGAGATTAGGATTATTCTCCTTGGCTCTGAACATCTGCTGTGAACAAACAGTGCAAACCATCGGGAGTTTAAATCCCTGCTAAATACAGGGCCGTTATTCCGAAATGAGTAGCTTAACCACATGATGGCCGGGCATTCATCTGTAACTGGGTAATGGTGACCCTTTCACAAATACAGGAACTATTAGAACTGTAATTATGGACCTGCAAAACACTAATTATCTTTACTAAGACTACAAGATGAATCGGTCCTCCTCTAAAAATGACTGAGTCCTTTTATTAAACGAGGGTGAGCTGAATAAATTAACTATTCCAGTTATTGTGCATCAGAGGCAGGAGCAGCTGGGAAATTATTGTCAGTCATGCAGTATGCTAAGTATGTTCATAACCACAGCAGGTGTGAACCAGCTCTGACTGGCTTCTGCTCACACACACACACACACACACACACACACACACACACACACACACACACACACACACACACACACACACACACACACGCACACACTGAGCTAAAATCCTGTCAGTCTCAAGCACATCTGCTTCCCCAGAACTACTGCTGAGCAAGCACTGCGTTAGCCTCCGCTTCCCTTCATGGGTGATCATAACAGGACAACAATACTTCACATATGTCGCACAAAACATACTGTGACAGTAAAAAAAAAGAAGCTTGTGAATCACAGGAACACGCAGGCATCCTTTTTTTCTATATTTGGACACTAGGATTTTTTTTCTCATCAGGGACTTTTCTAACTTTAAAGTTATCTTCACAATAATTTCCCTGATTTCTACTTACGCGAGCAGGCATGATTTCCCTTCTGATTGCCTTTCGGTAACTTAGTAACGGGGAAAACAAAAGCTGTTAAGACTGCACAAGTTGCTTTTGAAGTTAGCAGCAGGACACAAAATGATTTATAATTACAGAATACGACTAAAAAGCTAGCTTAACTCTCAGGTGAGACACTCAGTTGGTGCCAAAAAGGCAGCTGCAAGGGAATCCCACACATTAAAAACTACTGCTCATCAGAGGTGGAAGAATTACTCAGATCTTGTACTAAAAGTAGAAGTACCAGAGTGTAGGAATACTCTGTTACGTTAAGTAAAAGTCCTGCAATCAACATTTTACTCAAGTAAAAGCACAAATGTATTAAAAATCTAAATGTTCTTAAAGTACCAAAAGTAAAAGTATGTATCATGCTGAATGGGGCCATTTCAGGATAATATAAGATTGTTTTGAGTAGAATAATAATAATGCATTAAAGTATTTTCAAAGCTGGTAAAGTTGGATTATGTTTTCATTACTTTGTATGCTGCTGTAAGCTTGTGAATGTTACTCCAGGTTTAAATAAAGACTTATTTAAGGATTGACTATATTTCATATCACCAATCCCAATCTGCAAAGTAACTAAATGTATTAAATAAATGTATATGGAGTAAAAGTACACGATTTACATCTGAATTGTAGTGGAGTAGAAGTATAAAGTAGCAAACAAATCAAAAGTCCCTCAAAATTGTACTCAAGCACAGTACTTGAATAAATGTACTTAGTTACTTTACACCTCTGCTGCTCATTATATATGAATACATATGTTGGAAGACTCCACGCAACAGCCATAAAAACTAGTACAAAAAGGTGTGTACATATAAATCGTTTCCAATTACGGACGATGTTAGTTAGATGCAGTTACAGATGAGTGCTCGGTGATTAATGGTTTTCACTCCCATCTTCCCCGGGCAGTGAGCTCCGATCGCTCATGCACTGCAGCCTCCCATTGGCTCTGCCTTATCGTGGGTGTCTTTTCAGACCTAATCATAGGTTTGCCCAGCAGGTATGTGGCTAGCAGGGCTCAGTCATGCTGGAAAAGCCATCACTCAACATCTTTTATGATCACTTCTGTGAGGTGTTGGTAGGCAAGTCTCTTCATGTGCGGTATTGCTGCAGTGAAAGTCTGAGATTTACGATTGAGCCTGCTACAAGTAATCTCAGCCCCCAAAGCTGAAACTAAAAGTGTTTGAGTGAACTATTTAAGTCATTAAATCCCACAGAGTAACAGTTATTGGAGCGTGAATTTATGCACATATCAACTACAGAACATTTTCCTCGCTTAGCAAGCTTGGCTGCAGCTCATGAAATCATTTCTTCAGGGAAGGGAATTCACTGCATAATTTTCCTGTCATCTGGAGAAGAACATATGAATACATCTCCCCGACAAGGTAGAAACAATACCAAAGCAATCGGGATTTCACGGAGCTGGAACAAAGCATAAATCTGACGTAACACTCAGAAGGGGAACACAAACTGTATTTCTTCCAGCAACTTTGGAAACATAGTGTAATCGTCATCATAAGGCAAAGTAATTACAACTGATTTCTGCTGCTGACAAAACGCACCTTAACCACTAACCTTATTCCCTTTATAAATTGCAGCTCCGGTGTAAAGGTCATTGATGAAATGTAACTTAGTACATGTAACCAAGTAATGAGCTTGAGTACAACATTTAGGTACTTGTATTTCACTTAAGTTTTTGCTACTTTGTACTTTTATTCCACTACATGTAGGCAAATGTTGTATTCGTTTCCTTCACTACATTTATTTTTTATCTTGAATTCCTAGCTACTTTGTATGTTAAGAATATTAATACAAAATATATATCAACTAATACATTAAGGTATATTGTTATAGGTTAGCTTACCAGCAGTCAATAAAACAATCTGAATGAACCAAGTGCAATATTGAATTGAAGACCTAATTTATTGTAAATAAAATAACAATTTCATATATATGATTATAACATGTTTCATACTGCATAACAATTACTTTCACTTTTGTCCTTTAAGTACATTTTGGTGCTTTTAATGTTGCACTCTCCCATGAGTAAGATGTTGAATGCAGGGCTTTTAATTTGTAACCAAGTATTTTTACACTGTAGTACAGCTACTTAGTACTTCTCCCACCACTGTTTAATATATAAGGGCACTTATATCATATATATATATATATATATATCAAATCATATTTAAAATCATATTTAAGACTGAAACATATGTATAACTAAGGCCTACATGCTTCAAATGGCTATCGCACAACCCTGTTATTAAATTGGATCACTCCCCAAGTTGCAGAGGAGAGCTGTCGGAAGTATCTGTGGTCGAGCACACGCTGTGTCATCTTCGTCTTCCTATAATTGCTGTTTGACTGACTGGCAGTGGGTGTGTCTGCAATGTGGTATTGACGGATCTGGCCCTGTCACTTGCCTTTGTGTCAGAAAGCCTGCAGGAGACAGGAAGCCAGGCTTCAGAGTGGACAGAAAACGGACATCTGACCACACCTAGAGCCTTGGGGCTGGACATAACTCTCTGACTTCTTAGTGCACTCTTTACTCATGCACACAAACCCTTTTTCTTTTGTTTGCTAGCCACTCTTAGTGAGAAAAAAGACAAACAGAAAGCATTCAAGTAAAAATATACAATATATTTGTTGTATAAACTTGTACAGAATGTCTTGGACATATCGCTTTACATATACTATACATAAGGGTCAAAATAGGGTCACTTTCGCATCCTTCATGATTTTAAGAAAATGTCCCCCATAGCAACCACATTTTATGTACATCTTTACAAACATACCAAACGAAACAGCCCTTGGATGCACTTTAAGAGGCCATGACGAGATACAGATGACTTGTATAAAAATCCCTGAAAAATGTCTCTTTGTGAGGTAAGAACACATTTGTCAAACTCTTTTCCTTTCATTCCCTCTCATACATCAAAACTCACACATTTGTTCTGCGACGAGACTGGCAATAGAGAACAGCTAATTACACATTATGTTTCCCTTAACATTATTGTGCCACAGGAGGAGTAGCTGCAGACGGAAGACTGTCGGAGGAGGAAATAAGGTGAACATCCATTTCCTTATACACTGATTACTTACACATTTGTTCCTTTCAAATCGGGGCAAAAGCCACAGCTATGATAAACTAAACCTCGACCTGGTAACCGACATATAATTAAATGTCATGTTAAGTTATGGTTAGGCCTCAACAACAACAACAACAACAGGAAATATGACCTAAAGTTACAGAACAAAGTAGAACATAATCACATGTAAATAATACAGCTAAGCAATAGAATGAACAGGGGCATTTTTGGTAAACAATATGTATGAACAGAAAGGGGCAAATTCTTTCTGTGGTAACTCCATTCTGCTGAAAGTGAGCTGTGAAGAAAAACTGGACAATTATTCAAGGCCGGATCAATGTAATAGCTTATTTCCCTCAGCTAGTGTACCATCAAAACATCTCGGATTGGTCCCCAGAAAACATTCTGATTGGCCGAATACTCCTACTAGATCATCAAGGCAATAATCAAAACTATAAACTGAAAGGAACACATTAACATCCGCTTTACAGCTGGTGAATAACAAACAACAATCCTAGATTTATTAGAAAAGTAATGAAATGTCCTGTTATTATGGTCTTACATGACCATTGATTAATGCCATATATGGGGGGTAGCAAAAGTCTTCCTTTTGTTAGAAATTAAGGCAGGCTGGGTCTAATAGATCACGTTCTGTTACTTTAAGAGATCAATGTTGTACTTTTGGTGCAGAAATAGGGTAACTGACCTACTGCTTGTGTCAGCTTGGTATCTGAGAGGCTCAGGAGAACCTTAGAGACACGACAGGAAATGACTGTCCAAAGGCTGTCCAATCCATCCTCATGTTGACTCCAGCGTGTCGAGCTGGAAGACGTTGTGATTGGTTGGCGTGGTGAAGAAGAGCTGCTCCTCGCTGGTGGAGCGGTTATCACACGGACTGTGCAGCCCCAGCGTCCTCTCAAAGTCCAGGAGCTGACCCATGAAGTTGAAGTTTGGCGAAATGTTGGACTTCTTCCTCTTGACAAAGTCATAAGCGTCGTTGAGAGAGAGGTTGAGCCTCTGCATCAGGTAGGCCACGGTCACTGTGACTGAGCGACTGATGCCGGCCAGACAGTGGACCAGGATGCCACACTGCTGAGAGCGAGCCTCGTCTGTGAGAGAAGGAGAAATCTACGGTCAGCAGCGGTAGGTTGTTATCCTAAATAATATTTCCATTGATTCATATTTCCCTGTATTATAATGTGTAAGAGTTTCTGTAGTTAAAGTATCACGGTGATTCTGACTCTTAGGTGATACAGGAAATCATGTTGATGTTACAATAATGGCCCCAATGTACATCATGCACCAGCAAAGGGCAGTAAGTGTGAAATACTATGACCAGCTGACATGTAAGCTCCCTCAGAGTGATGATGATGTATGATGTATTACGCGCACATGTAATGAGACTTCAAATTCAAATTAAATTCTATTAAAATGGACTTCATCTATTTGTCAGAATCAGCCATATATCCGATAACTCTGTTTCTGATTGTTGCATCCCTAAATACTAACATTAGCAAATAACTGTCAACTTAACGAAACCAGACTCAACTTGTGACCCTGCAAAAAAAGAAAGCTCCAGGGAGTGGAAACAACATTTCCTTCCTCCTTGTACCTCTAAAAGCTTTTGAAAGTTGTACATGATACATAGTGTTGCAACCACCAAACAAACAAGTGAACAAGCTGTGGTTTCAGGTGCAGTGGTGGCAAAAGACAACGCATTCAAAATGAAACTGAAACGTTTACTTTCAAGTGAATGTGTTGTAGCTATGTATCAAACATATTCAATGGTGTTGTTGTACATCAGCTGGTAACACATTACACAAGTGGTAAGTTAGGGAACATGTATCATGTCTTTCAGCGTTAACCACAATATGCTTATTAAAAAAACAATATAAAAATGCCCACTTGTTCCAAAAAAAACACATTCCACAGCAATTGTGTCAATAATGATTCAGAAGTATTGATTATCATAATGTTATTAAACAAAATTATCAAAACAAAATTAACTTAATAGTATTTAGTATATATATAGTACAGTATATACAGTATGACACTCACACAAACAAGAACACATGTATTTTCTTCAAAATGTAAGTGTGTCTGTGAGTATTAAACTTAACAAAGCTATTGACCTACTCACCTATAAATGATATGGCCTCTGGGAAGAACTGGGACAGGTTCTGACTCCAGTGATCCGAGATGGGGATCTGTTTGTACCTGAAGTGGCCTTCATGCTCAAACATGTTGGGGAGATTGGGTGTAACGTTCAGGATGTACTTGATGTTGTACTGGCCCAGCACGTCTAGATTGGTGGAGTCTTTGGCGCAGCCCAGGTAAAGGTAGGGAAGGATCTGGACGGGGAAGGCGGGCTGATTGCTGGGGATGGGGCTCTCCTCAGACTCTGTGGCACTGCTCGGCTCTCGGTCAGATTCCCCATCGGAACAATCAGAGCTGATTCTGAGGTTTCCAAAACCCAGGACAGAGAGCGGAGGAGAGGAGCTGGGACAGGAGCTGTCGAGGAGGGTCTCACAGTGCTCTGGGTACTCTGTGTGGAACTTTACAAATCCACCTGGACAAGAGCCAAAACACAAGTTAATAAAGTCACACCAATAGGATATATTTTTGTATATAAATAGATACATAAATGCTTCAACTTATATCAACTGTTTATTTAAACAGTGTTTTTAATGGCAAAAAGACTGTTTGGTATTGAAGCAGAGCTGTAAATAAGTAACTCAAGTTCCCCCCAAAAAGAACCATTCATGAAATGCATGCCTGTTCCTGCTAGAGCAAAACATGGCGCAGCCATTTTGGAATTTTAATTGAGAATCTCAGTGACACACCAACTTTTAAACAGCTTAAAAACCGCACAGCCAACCCACAGGGTGAATTAACGATAGTATTTGTTACTTTAAAATATAACAATGATCAAGATACACGTTACTGTCTCGTCTTACGATTCAAATGTCCGTATTTCAAAGTTTTATTCGCGTAAAGAAACTTCTGCTCGGTTTATTAGCCGTTAATACAGGTTATAAAAGTTTCCAGGTCATGCTTATATTTCGTAAAACTAGCTTTACAGTTCTGGCAGCACAACATTTGAGCAGTTCGTTTTCTAATGTTATAAACAGACTGACTGTAACCAGCGTTAATGTATCTATATGTAGCATTAATGTGTGATGTCATTGTTGTTAGGGTTACTTTGACAGTGTAACTATTTACCTTGAAGGTAATACGCTTTACAGCCGTCTTCCCATAGTTTCTGAAGAAGTAGACCCAGAACTGAGGCTCCGCTGTCCTGCCAGTCCACGGTGCTCTCATCGTACAGGACCACCGTGTCCGTCTTGCACCGCCTTATGAACTTCTCTTTATCCTCATGGTTGGGGATGATAGTCCGGATAGGTATGTTGCCCTTTTTGAACCTCCGGAGCATCAGCCCCGGTATAGCCAGGTTTATGGCGGTCTCTATGTGGGATGATTCATAAAGCTCATGTGAACGGCAGTCCAGCAGGAGCAGAGAAGTGCCTCCGGACTCTAACTCGAGTTGCAGCCATTCCACGCTTTTACTCGGCGTCACATTAGACATATCGGACTCAATATCATACTGCATGCAAGCACAAACACTTACTACATGGTCCACCAGTTGACGATAAACTACATTTCAGCCGAAAAAAAATAAGCGTTAAATGTTGCTCCGCCAGTGCATGGCGCTTCAGCGAAGAGATTTCCCCTTTTTTCTCTTCTCTATTTCCATCAGCCAGTCACTCTGACCTGCCCCGGGGCTGAAGGAGACCTGCTTATACTTTAATTTACGATACACAAGTTTAAACGTGAATGATTTATAGCCAATATCTCTTCGTCAACTCTTCAACTTCTCCACACACCGTACCAGGGTCCTCCATGCACATTCTCGTCTTACCATTCCGATGCATGGGAGGCTTTTTTTTTAGTTGACAGTAGAGCAACTCAAGAGGGAGGAGTTTATTTCTTATGATTTAAAGTCATAGCAGAAATATCACAAAGTTTAAAGGAGGTCTCAATGGAATTATTTTGCAAATTACCATTTGGTCAATCACCTTCATCATATTTTTAAACCATTGTTTGTGATATTATAGCAAGTTTATAATAACTTTTAAAGGGGGTTGTTATCACTAACAACTAGTATTTATGATTCCAGTATTTTTCCTTGTTGGGATTACATTTGTTAATTTAATCGATTTCAAATGTCCTTCTAGTGACCTTGTGTAACTTTATTACTTATTAATAGTTGTATTTACTGTACATATTCCTATATGGTCTCAAGGTTTGCCTGAGTGATTGTAACAGCTACCTTTCTTAATATTTGCATAGAGCAGCTTGCATGATACTTATATTTTGAGAATAGACTCATACGGGGAGATTGCATAATTGCACATATTATGCATTATTGCTGAATAATTTACCTAACCTAAATGTTCTAATGATGTCATTTAAAACAGATATCTCATTATATACTGTATATTATAATGCTATACTGTTTTATCTTGCACCACTGTCAATGTACCTATATTGTGTAAATGAATCTAATAATACTAGTTATTTTATTTTTGTATGATTTACTTATTATTACAGAACTTTAAGTTTACTACAGTTTATTACACAGGTTTGCAAGAACAATACAGTATTTACAATGTAATCAGACCCTCCCTTTAGTACACAACAAATGTGTTGAATCAATTTATTTTCCCTTTGATGGACAAACTCAACTGTCTCACACTGCTGAATACTTTAAATTGGTTGTGCATCTCTATACAGGCGAACAGCTGAACATGTTATCCTATTTCATCATGATAATGTTTGTTTCCGTATTAGAAACACATTTGTAAATGCTCTCTTTTTTGATTTTCATGTATTTACAAGGCAAAGCACTCAAGGAACCCTGCTATATTACACGGTGACAACATGGAATTTGCAAGCATGTTGATGACATGATGGTCTTCCTTATAATGCAGGCACAACATTCCCATGGTTTACTGATTGGTATAATAATACTGCAAGAGAATGGTGAATGGGGAGGAATAAGAGAGTGAGGGAGAAATGTGAACTGGGAATCCAGCCATGCAGCTCATCTCCCTGCACACGTGAGTGGGGGAGACACAGATGTGCAGAGCACTGGGATTAACACATAATGAGGAATAGAGCTAAACCTGTACACACACACACACACACACACACACACACACACACACACACACACACACACACACACACACACACACACACACACACACACACACACACACACACACACACACAAATGTTCTCAACCATGGACTGATCTCACACATCGCCCCGCTACGCCACAGCAACATTTCAGCACCTGCCTCCAACATCCAACCACCAATACTTTAAAGGGTGTGAAAACCAACACATACACACACACACACACACACACACACACACACACACACACACACACACACACACACACACACACACACACACACACTTCCTGTGGTCCCTCATACCCACATGATTGTCTCCTGGAAGTGTGTAGAGGTGTTGGACCTGCCCTCAGAATTTTCGCAATGGGCAAAAGAGCAGCCTGTATCTAGAAAAGACATTGATGGATGGAGGTAATAATGTGTGACAATGATGTCAAACACACCTTGTTTTTTATTGAAATCAAAGAATGAAATGGTGTAGTTGTGTAAGACCCTCTGAATGTGTGTCAAGATTTGAAATCCCAATCAACAACATCAACACAGCACATAACTGGAGAATTGATTCATGTTGTGAATGGGCATTAGCTATTATGGTGGTCACCTGACAGCTCGGAACAACACTATGGTTACATAATGTGCTCCAAACGTGAGCTCATGGTAATTCACTCACAGGAAAGAGAGGATGGTCTTTGATTAACAGAATGCCAGGTTTCTGCATGTCAAGTGCTGCTTTGAGGGATTTCACACATACACAACAGACACAAACACACCCCAGTCACGTGCAGATGTACAGTGGGAAGCATTCAGAGATGAGACAGATGGGAGGAGAGCTTCCTCTTCATTGATGTTTCCCTGCATGTGGGAGTAAAGGGCTTTTTATTGAACTCGTTTTATCTAAGCATGATAATCATAGGCCGGGATAGAAAGTGTCTCACATCAATAGAAATTTTGATTCAATCTTGTAGGAAATAACCAGGCTTTTGCATTGATGACGGATAAAACAGACGATTCATTGAATTGAATATGCTCTGTAATGTCTGATTTTGTATCCGTGTGACACTGACACATGCAAAGGCACATGAAGTGTATATTCTGCAATATATTACAACCGATTTGATCTCTCATGCTATCTAGTTAGGAAACACAATATCCTGTTCTGTTTTGATACCATCTAGTGGTTCATGAAGAAAGCTGCTGCACCAGCTATGAGTCATCCGCAGAGGAAGGAGGTGCCTGGCTGACAGCCTCACAGCTCACAACAGGAGACCCAGCGTGCCTCCATGTGGGGAAAACAAGGAATGCAATTACATGCATTTCATGAATGAATGGACAAATCACAAATCTGCCCTTAAGCTGATTATACATGAACTCCATTCATGCATCTCTGTCTTTTTTCTAAACTACAAAGTTAAAAAAGAAAAATTCTGCAATTACGTAATGTATTTTATGTTGTTACTGTTAGAACTACCTATTACTTGTGTAGCATTAGTAAATAACATGAGGAAGCCACATGCTATATGCATGAGATAACCCTTCTGCCAAAAGGCCTACATCTAATGAAATAGTGTACATACATTACATGTATGTGCAGCAAATAACCTGGGTGTCATGATAAATATAAATATATCTGTGACACATGGTTGCACCATATGATTTTAGATATGTTTCCCTGTATAGATGGGTACGAGTGAGTGTGAGATATTTTGTGCGCTCTGCTATCTCATTCACTGTATACTTGAAGATTATTGTAGCATGACATGTCAAGAAAGATTATTCAAATGAGATGTTTGAAATGTGCATCCCTTTTTTTTCAAACAAAATATGCACATTTGCAACACATCAGAAAGACAACCCACCCATAAATGCAACATAAATATAAAAAAACAATACATGATTTTGTTTGCTGATTTTAGCGTTCAGTTGTAATTGTAGTTGTAGTGATAATTGAATTGAAACTGTAGTTGCACTTAAACCTAGTGCTATATAAAAAGCCATTATGTTTGTTATTAGAGTGATTAACTTACATTTGTCATGATCCTGGTGTTATGTTTTCTTGTTTTAACCTTATAACCTGATAACATCTTCACGGTCGCTTAGGTCTGCTGATAGATTCCTCCTTGTGGAACGTTGAAACAGGGGGAGACAGGGCCTTTTTTGTCTGCTCCCAGGCTGTGGACCGATTTGCCCCCCCTGATCAGACTTGCTCCCACTTTGCCTGTTTTTACATCTTGTTTAAAGCCTACTTGTTCTCCCGTGCTTTTGAAGACCACGTAAAGGTGACCTATCATGCAAAATGCACTTTTGTACGTCTTTTATACATGAATATGTGTCCCCGGTGTTACAGGGAACTCACCAAGTGTCAGAAAACAAAACCCTCTCTATTTTCCTCCATACCCAAATCTCTTAAAAAGGGGCTGCAACGGATCTGATACAGACTGATCCAGATTTGAACACTTCTCTGACGTCACAGAAGTGGCGCTACGGCTATTGGGCCAACTCCACCAATCAAGAGGAGACAGCCACGGACATTGCCGTTCGAAAGCGCTGGAGACGCTGTAGTACATATGCCAGGCCTGTAGATGGTGCTGTTCTCACAGAATCAGCCCATGAAAAGACAGTGTTAAATTGAGCGAAATGAGGAATGGCTAAAATGCATGATCTGTTTGTTATTTTGAAAAATAAAAAGTATAAATATGCCTTATATAGGTATGGTCCTACACTATATTATTCAAATATAGCATGATAGGTCAACTATCAGTCTGCAGGTATCAGGTTTTTTATTTTATTGTGTCTTATGTTGTTTTTACATCGTGTATGAGAGTTTTTCAGTCTATGGCTATAAGTATGGTTTTATTGTCTCGTGTTTTTACATTTGTTTTTTGTCTTATCAGTTTTGTCTATATGTATTTATGCTGCTTTTTATATATATGTATTTATGTACAGCACTTTCGTCAACTCGGTTGTTTTTAAATGTGCTATATATATTAAGTTGGATTGGATTGTTTTCTTTTGTAATGTATTTTCTCCTTGTGTCTTCCTGTCTTTTGTTTTCCCGCCTGTGTGATTGTGTGATTGTGTTCACCTGCTGCCCCTGTGTTTCACCTGCCCTCTCCAGCTGTGTCTTATATCTGTGGTTAGTCTTGTATATATGCCTGTCTTCCCCAGTGTTCTCTCTGTTTGTTGTCTATGTTCCTGCCAGTGTCCCAGAGTTCCTGCTTGTGTTCCCGCTCTTGTCCCTCATGTCCTCCGGTCTGTACTTGTTTTCTTTGTTTTTGTTGTTTTGTTTGACTTAGTTCTGGTCCCCGTTATTTTTGAATCAGCTTTATTTAATAAAGCTCACTTTTTGTCTACACTTTTATACATGCCTCCTGTGTTTTAATGCGTGTTGGTCCAACTTTTGCTAAACCTGTAACAACATGATGTCAAATTTACATGCAACCATATTTAAAAGTATGTTTTTAGTCATAAACAATACATTTAAGAGTTTGCACACATACGTACACTTAACCCACACATTTATTATGAAGGTGACACAGAACATTCTTATATAGTAATATATGTTTGATATAAATAGAATAAATATCTTGAATTCAGGAAGGTGGTGCTTGTTAGGATCAAGTGTTTATATGTGATTTCAGGCTACTGCTGATATCATGTGACTGAGGCCTGTGAAGTAGGACTTCTCCCTTTCACTCATGAGCTCCAAGTGAAGAGGCTGCTGGCAGAAGTCACAC